GTCAATGACTCAATCATAATCGTTTACTATCGTCAACTCAACTACCAAAACGCCGTAATGTCCCCTAACCACCATATACAATGACGTGGACTAATCTCATCCTTCAATTTTTTCGTACTAGTCCTGAACCGTCCGATACATCCGCACGCTTGTTTACTTTTTGGATTCACACAATAATTACGATAGAAAACATCCGTGGTTAAAAAAGTAAAAGGCGAATTCCACTCAGATTCAATAGAGTTTATCATTTAATTATTTACGCTATTTATATTTTAAAATTTATACGTGTATAACACTTGAATCTCTATTGTCAATATGATAGCATGTTCGTTAATAAATTATATCTAGACCCCTAAAATTTATAAGCTTATAATATTTAAACCCTTTTAAATTTAAAATATTATATTTAGACTAAAAATACTTCAATGAAAGATAGAATATCAAAAATTTTAAATTTTACAATCAAAATTCATATTCTATTATAACATTTATTGAAATAAAAATATAATATTTTCTAAAATAATTATAATTNATTATAATAATAAAATATATATTTATATTTTTTTCATAAAAAAATAAATAATAAAAAAATATTTTTTCTATCTTACCAAACATAAAAAAAAAAAAAAAATTAATTCTTCTTATTTTTGATCCCTCTTATTAAACACAAAAAAATTTAATTTATTTTTACCTTTTATCAATCTATTTTTTCATTCTTCGTGCTAAACTGAACATTAATCTTTTCTCATATATCTATGACCCTTCTTACCGGTAGACACCGGTGTCAAGACGTTAAAAGTGGTCTGGTCGTCAGTCAATGACTCAATCATAATCGTTTACTATCGTCAACTCAACTACCAAAACGCCGTAATGTCCCCTAACCACCATATACAATGACGTGGACTAATCTCATCCTTCAATTTTTTCGTACTAGTCCTGAACCGTCCGATACATCCGCACGCTTGTTTACTTTTTGGATTCACACAATAATTACGATAGAAAACATCCGTGGTTAAAAAAGTAAAAGGCGAATTCCACTCAGATTCAATAGAGTTTATCATTTAATTATTTACACTATTTATATTTTAAAATTTATACGTGAATAACGCTTAAATCCCTATCGTCAATATGATAGCATGTTCGTTAATAAATTATATCTAGACCCCTAAAATTTATAAGCTTATAATATTTAAACTCTTTTAAATTTAAAATGTTATATTTAGACTAAAAATACTTCAATGAAAGATAGAATATCAAAAATTTTAAATTTTACAATCAAAATTCATGTTCTATTATAACATTTATTGAAATAAAAATATAATATTTTCTAAAATAATTATAATTAGTATGCAATTATATTATTTATTTGAATTTAATTTAGTTGTCTAAAAGACCAAATTAAACTATCAAATTACATCAATTAAAGCTAAAAGATATTGTGTCAATTATATGTTGACCTCTTATTTGATTTTTTAGTTTTATTCCAATAGATAATATAATTGTATAATAATTATGATTTTTTTTTTAAAAAATAGATTTATATTTTTGATTTTATTTCAATAAATGACATAATAGAATATGAATTTTGGTTGTAAAATTCATATTCTATTATAAATTACTTAAAACCCCCTTTTTTTTTGAATGACTTAAACACCTTGTTTGATTTTTTTTAATTTTATTTCAATAGATAGTATAATTGTATACTAATTACAATTTTTAAGAAAAAATTTAATATTTATATAATTTTATTTCAATAAATGATAGAATANACTATTTATATTTTAAAATTTATACGTGAATAACGCTTAAATCCCTATCGTCAATATGATAGCATGTTCGTTAATAAATTATATCTAGACCCCTAAAATTTATAAGCTTATAATATTTAAACTCTTTTAAATTTAAAATGTTATATTTAGACTAAAAATACTTCAATGAAAGATAGAATATCAAAAATTTTAAATTTTACAATCAAAATTCATGTTCTATTATAACATTTATTGAAATAAAAATATAATATTTTCTAAAATAATTATAATTAGTATGCAATTATATTATTTATTTGAATTTAATTTAGTTGTCTAAAAGACCAAATTAAACTATCAAATTACATCAATTAAAGCTAAAAGATATTGTGTCAATTATATGTTGACCTCTTATTTGATTTTTTAGTTTTATTCTAATAGATAATATAATTGTATAATAATTATGATTTTTTTTTTAAAAAATAGATTTATATTTTTGATTTTATTTCAATAAATGACATAATAGAATATGAATTTTGGTTGTAAAATTCATATTCTATTATAAATTACTTAAAACCCCCTTTTTTTTTGAATGACTTAAACACCTTGTTTGATTTTTTTTAATTTTATTTCAATAGATAGTATAATTGTATACTAATTACAATTTTTAAGAAAAAATTTAATATTTATATAATTTTATTTCAATAAATGATAGAATATGAATTTTTTTGTTTTAAAATTTAAAATATTTAATATTTTATCTTTAATTAGATTATTTTTTATCTAAGTATACTATTTTAAACTTGAGGAATTTAATTAATACGCGTTTATCAACTTTAGGGGATTTGAGTTTAATTTATTAATAGATATACTAATAGACATTGACGAAAAGAGTTTAAGTGTTATGCGCATATAACTCTCAAGAATTTGTACGTAATATTTTAAATATCAAAAAAATCTGAGTGATTAAGTGAGGCTAATTCTCCAAAAGTAAAACCACTCGGTAATCACTTTCCATGGAAATAACCATTATGCCCTTTTTCCCACAGTTTCACGGTAGCCAAACAGTGTGTACAACCCCCAACGGCGACAATTTTCTGATGCTAAGACNGGTTGACCTCTTATTTGATTTTTTAGTTTTATTCTAATAGATAATATAATTGTATAATAATTATGATTTTTTTTTAAAAAAATAGATTTATATTTTTGATTTTATTTCAATAAATGACATAATAGAATATGAATTTTGGTTGTAAAATTCATATTCTATTATAAATTACTTAAAACCCCCTTTTTTTTTGAATGACTTAAACACCTTGTTTGATTTTTTTTTAATTTTATTTCAATAGATAGTATAATTGTATACTAATTATAATTTTTAAGAAAAAATTTAATATTTATATAATTTTATTTCAATAAATGATAGAATATGAATTTTTTTGTTTTAAAATTTAAAATATTTAATATTTTATCTTTAATTAGATTATTTTTTATCTAAGTATACTATTTTAAACTTGAGGAATTTAATTAATACACGTCTATCGACTTTAGGGGATTTGAGTTTAATTTATTAATAGATATACTAATAGATATTGACGAAAAGAGTTTAACTGTTATGCGCATATAAATCTCAAGAATTTGTATGTAATATTTTAAATATCAAAAAAAATCTGAGTGATTAAGTGAGACTAATTCTCCAAAAGTAAAACCACTCGGTAATCACTTTCCATGGAAATAACCATTTTGCCCTTTTTCCCACAGACGGTAGCCAAACAGTGTGTACAACCCCCAACGGCGACAATTTTCTGATGCTAAGACTGCCGTTTTTCTCTCTCTGTTGTGATTGTTCTACTTCGACTTTTGTGTCAGCGTTTCAGCAATTTCACGATTTCTAGGGTTTTGTTTGTACACTGTCTTTTTTAATACCACCGTCAATTTTCTGTTCTTTTCTACAATTTCTTTATTACGAGAGTATTTGATCTGATTCTTGTGTGGTGAAATGTTTCTGAGAAGAAAATCTGAGAAAATCTTCGAACAGCTAGCTATCAAAATTGGCAGATCTGAGAAAATATTTGTCTTACTTACGAGTTGAAAGATTCGAGAGAGAGAGAGAATCGTAAAAGAATGAGACAGCGTTGTGTTCGAGCGATCAATCACTATCCTCTGCAAGAGGAAGCACAAGGAATCGGAGACAGAGAGAGGAGAGAGAAAAGCGGGGGATGATGAAGAAGAAGGAACATATTTGCGCCGTGTGCCATGGCGCATTTTAGATTGGATTCGGTGCAGGATAGTACGAATTGATTAAAGTAGAATAAACGATAACATTATGATAAAAGGTTTGCCGGGGATTCTCAGTGAGTTGTCGGCAGGTTTGCCGGATGGAAAAAAGGTGACAAAAAGACACTATCACCTCACACATTTATGCTGGGGCCCCCATTAGATTACTAATTTATACACACTCCCCGGTCCTAGAAAATATTTTACACACAAGGACTGGAATAAAAGAAAAAACTATGGTTTTTGACCTTGTTGATTAATTGAATAATGTAATTTTTTAAAATACCTAACCTAACTATGTTGTAACTTGTTTGATATGAATGATTTTTCTACAATGGTCTTGGGTTGGGGGGGAGGGGGAATGAAAGTTTTTTTTTTTTGTTGAACGATTATGGTTATCTGAGCTAGTTTAGATGAATCTCGACTAATTTTCTCTTTATTTTTGTCAAAGACAGGTTATCTTTGTTGGGACTTGAATATTTATGAAGACAAATTTCTCATGACTTAGTTCCAAATAGTTGTCAACTTGTTCTTATTATCATTTGAACTATCCTTAGTTCTATAACCGTAGATTTATCTCGCATTAGCCTTTTCTTTTAGTGACTATTATATGTTAGGCATGTCTACTTTTTTGTTGCTTTGATAAAACCTTGCATTTGCTATTAGTGTAAAAATGTAACATGCATTTATGTTTTATTATTCTTAAAAAGCATGTTATTCCTTCACTTAAAAGTTAAAAATCACCTTAACTTTCCTAAATATGTTGTTTAATTATTTCAAAATTGCATTAACTTTGCTGCAATATTATAAAGGGATTAGAAATTAAAGGAAAGAGAAGGCTACAGAAAAGGACAAAGAAGCTTCTTTTCTGCATCAACAAAACCAGCTCCTTTTGGGGTGGCCAGAAAGAGTCTCCCATTCTTGCTCTCTTCCTTCAATAAACCTATACTCTTCTTTTCCTTCTTCTTGTTCATTTAGAGAAATCCAGGGCTTTCCTGATTGTGTGTTTGTGCTTCAAAGTTTGATGTCTATACCCCTGGAACACGATTACATAGGCCTATCAGAGACTTCTTCACTGGAAAGAAGCTCTGACAAGATCTCATCTTCTTCCTCAACTGTCACAACTAAGGATGAGAACAGTAATGTTTTCAACCTCAAAGAAACGGAGTTGAGACTTGGTTTGCCTGGTTCCTTGTCTCCTGAAAGGAAGGCTGGACTGGGGATATCTCTCTTTGGGAAGGATTTTGAGGATAAGACAAATGGGTATTCACACAGCCCTCTGAAGAACTTTGTCTCGGGGGCTAAGAGGGGCTTTTCTGATGCCATTGATGCGTCTGGAAATTGGGNACTAATTTTCTCTTTATTTTTGTCAAAGACAGGTTATCTTTGTTGGGACTTGAATATTTATGAAGACAAATTTCTCATGACTTAGTTCCAAATAGTTGTCAACTTGTTCTTATTATCATTTGAACTATCCTTAGTTCTATAACCGTAGATTTATCTCGCATTAGCCTTTTCTTTTAGTGACTATTATATGTTAGGCATGTCTACTTTTTTGTTGCTTTGATAAAACCTTGCATTTGCTATTAGTGTAAAAATGTAACATGCATTTATGTTTTATTATTCTTAAAAAGCATGTTATTCCTTCACTTAAAAGTTAAAAATCACCTTAACTTTCCTAAATATGTTGTTTAATTATTTCAAAATTGCATTAACTTTGCTGCAATATTATAAAGGGATTAGAAATTAAAGGAAAGAGAAGGCTACAGAAAAGGACAAAGAAGCTTCTTTTCTGCATCAACAAAACCAGCTCCTTTTGGGGTGGCCAGAAAGAGTCTCCCATTCTTGCTCTCTTCCTTCAATAAACCTATACTCTTCTTTTCCTTCTTCTTGTTCATTTAGAGAAATCCAGGGCTTTCCTGATTGTGTGTTTGTGCTTCAAAGTTTGATGTCTATACCCCTGGAACACGATTACATAGGCCTATCAGAGACTTCTTCACTGGAAAGAAGCTCTGACAAGATCTCATCTTCTTCCTCAACTGTCACAACTAAGGATGAGAACAGTAATGTTTTCAACCTCAAAGAAACGGAGTTGAGACTTGGTTTGCCTGGTTCCTTGTCTCCTGAAAGGAAGGCTGGACTGGGGATATCTCTCTTTGGGAAGGATTTTGAGGATAAGACAAATGGGTATTCACACAGCCCTCTGAAGAACTTTGTCTCGGGGGCTAAGAGGGGCTTTTCTGATGCCATTGATGCGTCTGGAAATTGGGATCTCTCTATGAACGGTGGATCTGAGGTTGATTTGGCCAAAGGTTCTGTTTTGTTCCCTCCTACAGGTGGGAAAAGTGCTTTGGAGAAAATCAATACTCAGCAGTCATGTTTGCCCGGGCCAGCTAAGAAAGATGCTGGTGTTCATTCTCCTCAAAAGCCTATTCAAGAGAAGAAGACTTCTCCTGCAAACGATAATAATAGTGCTCCCGCTGCTAAGTGAGTTTATCTTTCGATTCTTTTGATTTCAACCCTCAAACTCTGCTGCATAACTGATTTGATGTTTCTCTTATTAGAATAGCCATGCTACTTTTTTGCCAGCACCCTGTGTAATCCAGTTATTTGATGCTTCTAATCCGTTTTGGTGGTTTCCAATTCCATACACTCGCAAGACATAGATTTAATGCACAAAAAATGCCTGTCAATTATTACGTATTGACACTCATTATGTGACCAAAAGGTTTCTTTCATCCCTACAACTCACCTCAACAAAGCCGTAATTCTAACTGTTTGGGGTCGGCTATTTCTTCGTTCTTTCTTTTTCAGAATGTTCCCTTAAAAATTAAGCATGGGTTGGTTTTGCTTGGCCATTCATGGCTGCCTCCTTCTGGCTCTGTTGTTTCCTTTCTAGAAATTTAGATTCATTTTCTCTATATCTTGGTGTATCTGCTATGGTTTGTGTGTTACATTAAGCAAGCAAATGTTTACGTAACAGGGCACAGGTGGTAGGATGGCCACCTATTCGTTCTTTCCGAAAGAGCACCATGGCCACCAACTCAGCAAAGAACAGTGATGGAGTGGATGAAAAATCAGGCTCAGGATGCATTTATGTGAAGGTCAGCATGGATGGTGCACCATACCTAAGGAAGGTTGACCTCAAAACCTTCCGCAACTATGCAGAACTTTCATCCGCTCTTGAGAAGATGTTCAGCTGCTTTACCATTGGTATCCTCTCTCTCTCTCTCTCTCTCCCTCTATAGCTATATTTTATGAAGTGAGATGTGACTATATTTTGTGAAGTGAGATGTGATGAAGCATAGATAGTATTAACTTTTGTGATTTGAGATATCATGAAGCATGGATAACTTGTTTGTCTCTTATGAATTATGTGTTTACTCAAGGTGATACTTTCCAACCTATTAGCAATCCCCTGGTCTTTGGGAAATAATTCATCCCCCCCCCCCCCCCCCCCCCCTGTATATTTTTACAATTTTCATTTGAAGTTGAAAAAGATTTTCGTTTTGAGGATGATGGATCACTATTGCTCGAGTTAATACCAGCCTCATGGATTTCATAGAAATTTACATCGACAAAACTGATTTTTTCAGGAATAATGTATTCTCTAATTATATTTTCTTCCAAACCCATAAGAGGGTTTTCTGTTGCATATTTCTTCACTATTCTTGAGGCTTTATTTTTAGGATTTAGTAGAGGTATGATTTTATTTTCATTCTCCCCCCCGCCCTTTCACTTTTCTCTTTCTCAAAGATAAGGATATTCATAGTTCCTTTTTCTTCTCTATAGAGGCAATATTTTGGAGACAAGTACCACTGGATTTCTGACTTTGTTTTCCTATAATTTTGTTGCTCTCTTTAGCTGTAGTCTAGGGCTTTATTTATCTGTTAATCAACTAACATGGAAGACTTGGATCTCGGAGGGAAATCCACTTAGTCATATACTGCATTATGTTGCATTTTGATTGATTTTCTCTCATGAGTATTCAACAGCAACATGTTCTAATGGGGGTTGACTTTTGTTGATGCATGACTGATTCAGGGCAGTGCACTTCTCATGGGCTTCGAGGACGAGAGGGGCTTAGTGAGAGTTGCTTGATGGATCTACTCCATGGCTCTGAATATGTACTAACATATGAAGACAAGGATGGTGATTGGATGCTTGTTGGTGATGTTCCTTGGGCGTAAGTTCTATTTGCAGATGACCTTGCTTAAACTGTTCTTGCCAAAATTGAAGAATAACTTCTCAGACATGTATTATCTGGGGAAGAGAAATGAGGGGGAAAAATATAAGTATGTATTAACTTGGGAAGAGTAATGAGGTGGAAAAATAATGTTCAATATTGAGTAATCCTGCTTCTGACGAATGGATAAAATAGAAGCAGAAGAGTTAGGTGTCAACTGTCAATTTATCATTACTTGTGCATTAACAATCAACTTGATCTGAATCTTCGCGTATAATTGGGTACAGTCAGCTATTGACTGATTGATTTTGTTATTTTGTTACAGGATGTTCACAGACTCATGCAAGAGATTAAGGATCATGAAAGGCTCGGAGGCTATTGGACTAGGTATATGCCCAGCGACTGATATTTGTTACTTCTCTTTTACTTGGCTTGTGCCCTACTCCTTGAAACTATTGGGTTATGCATTTGAGTCTAATCTGAGAAGGGGAACCAAATTGCATTGCTTGTGTTAGATTGGGCTTCAAATTACTTTGTTATTTCCCTTGCTTGCAGCTCCAAGGGCCATGGAGAAGTGCAAGAACCGAAACTAGTACATCAAGCAACTGCAAAACCAATGAAGAGGCATTTTATGAGGAGCTAAGGGTTTTAGGTTTGCGCTCTGCTCCAAAATCTTGTAATATGGTAGATTTGTAGTGTTCATGGATTGAAAAACTCACTTCTATGTCAAAAATAACTGGAGACATCCAGATTTGTGGTAATTCTATTATTTCTAAATGTGTATTTTTGTACTCAAATTATGTGCAAACGGAGTGTTTGGTGGTTGCAAATCTCAATGTCACTTGTCCAGGTTGCTCTTATAATGTATGGTTTACAAGAGTTTCCATTCCTCATATGAGAAATCACCTTGGAATGCTTGTTGATTGTGTATCCCTTGTAGACAAGAGGGTTACAGGCATCAGGAGTAGATGTCCTACGCAACAATGCATGTAAACAAGAAAATATTCAATGCAACAATGAGATCACATAATCAATCCCATTGGACTGCTAGTTGACTGTGAATTCCTCGAGTTTTATGGTTGCAGATATCATGAGTTGTCACTAGATGTGCTCCACAACCACGAATGTACACGAGTAAATATTTGATACAATAGGGAGATCACAACATCAATTACACGTGGTATCACCTTTTAATAACAAGGTTCTGCATAAGCTATAAATATTTGTCTCACGTGCAGCAAGTTATCCATCTCGTGTGTATATCCATCATAGCCCTATTAACTATTTTTTGAATGTGTAGAATTGTGAAATATGATGTTTATATCGCATGTCATTGTTTATATGATATCACTACTATATTAAATATTTACTCAATGCGCACAGTGTGCCGACCATAACTTGTTTGACCAATGAGCTTATTTCTGTGTACATAATCCTTCTGAGAAACTGCCGCTCAGCAGCTGGGTTATGGAAGTCTCTCACCTGACTTGCGTCGGTCATGGATTCCTCCCATAGCTCTTCACGACCAGATTAACTTGTTCTTTGATCCTTCACATCTTTTCTTTAGAATCACAGCTTAGTTCTAATGCTCCACCCTCTCAAAACCGTAGGTTCATTGGCTGTGATGCACTGGTGTTCCACGGCCTTTCGGCTAATTTCATGTCAAGCATAAGCCATATAAGGCAGGCCTAACTATATGCCATTGGTTAAAGTCTCAGTCACATCATTGGCTAATTTCTTGAATAGTGCCAATTGGCTTACGAAACATGACCCTTCAAGCCTTTTGCTCATCTTCCAGACAGCCCTGCATTCACATGTATAGGAGAAATGTGTATTGTGCTTTCGCAACAGCGTACCTGTAATCTATTCCACCAGTTTGCAGTAAAAGAAGAATTAAAAACCATTGATCTGGAAGGCGTCATGAATGNCTTAGTCATATACTGCATTATGTTGCATTTTGATTGATTTTCTCTCATGAGTATTCAACAGCAACATGTTCTAATGGGGGTTGACTTTTGTTGATGCATGACTGATTCAGGGCAGTGCACTTCTCATGGGCTTCGAGGACGAGAGGGGCTTAGTGAGAGTTGCTTGATGGATCTACTCCATGGCTCTNATATTTTGTGAAGTGAGATGTGATGAAGCATAGATAGTATTAACTTTTGTGATTTGAGATATCATGAAGCATGGATAACTTGTTTGTCTCTTATGAATTATGTGTTTACTCAAGGTGATACTTTCCAACCTATTAGCAATCCCCTGGTCTTTGGGAAATAATTCATCCCCCCCCCCCCCCCCCCCCCCCCANATGACGGAGAAATGTTACAGCATAATCATCAGGCAGCTAGAATCAGTAGACTTGTATTGACAGCCCAGATACTAACAAAAAATGTAACAAGAAATAGTTATCGAAAATCAAATCTGAAAAGAAACAAGAAAAAAAACAAACAAAGGAAAGAAATAATATTGAACAAACAATCTAAAACAGCTATGAGGGAAGGAGNCGACGGAGAAATGTTACAGCATAATCATCAGGCAGCTAGAATCAGTAGACTTGTATTGACAGCCCAGATACTAATAAAAAATGTAACAAGAAATAGTTATCGAAAATCAAATCTGAAAAGAAACAAGAAAAAAAACGAACAAAGGAAAGAAATAATATTGAACAAACAATCTAAAACAGCTATGAGGGAAGGAGTGTGCATGATATTGACAGATGAATGTTTTGATGCTGTGTCAACCTATAAACTCATTCTAATAAAAATCTTACAGCTTTAAGAATCTTGTTGAGATATCTGAAGATATACCATTTGAGTATATCCATTAAATACAGATGTCTCGAGTGTAGATAAGCCAAGCCTCTGGAACAACCCAAATCTGCCATCTTCGACAATAGGAATAGATACACGAGCGGGATCGTATCTCATTTGATGAGTAAGTGAAGGACCAGCCACTGGAGGGAGCTCCCAATAAACATCTAGCACTGATTCTACAAACCTGCTGTTCTGAAAATGTTGTGTGTAGCTAATTGCCTTGTTACTATGGTTAAAATCATCCCGCATTTGCCCCCTGACACCCCACCATGCTTCACCTGGCCCACAAAGTTCTTCTATATCCAATGCCTTCTCCCAAAATTTTTTCCTTTTTGATCTTATCCTAGCTTCATCACTATCTTTAAAGCAGCTATGGCCACCANCTGTATATTTTTACAATTTTCATTTGAAGTTGAAAAAGATTTTCGTTTTGAGGATGATGGATCACTATTGCTCGAGTTAATACCAGCCTCATGGATTTCATAGAAATTTACATTGACAAAACTGATTTTTTCAGGAATAATGTATTCTCTAATTATATTTTCTTCCAAACCCATAAGAGGGTTTTCTGTTGCATATTCCTTCACTATTCTTGAGGCTTTATTTTTAGGATTTAGTAGAGGTATGATTTTATTTTCATTCTCCCCCCCGCCCTTTCACTTTTCTCTTTCTCAAAGATAAGGATATTCATAGTTCCTTTTTCTTCTCTATAGAGGCAATATTTTGGAGACAAGTACCACTGGATTTCTGACTTTGTTTTCCTATAATTTTGTTGCTCTCTTTAGCTGTAGTCTAGGGCTTTATTTATCTGTTAATCAACTAACATGGAAGACTTGGATCTCGGAGGGAAATCCAATTAGTCATATACTGCATTATGTTGCATTTTGATTGATTTTCTCTCATGAGTATTCAATAGCAACATGTTCTAATGGGGGTTGACTTTTGTTGATGCATGACTGATTCAGGGCAGTGCACTTCTCATGGTCTTCGAGGACGAGAGGGGCTTAGTGAGAGTTGCTTGATGGATCTACTCCATGGCTCTGAATATGTACTAACATATGAAGACAAGGATGGTGATTGGATGCTTGTTGGTGATGTTCCTTGGGCGTAAGTTCTATTTGCAGATGACCTTGCTTAAACTGTTCTTGCCAAAATTGAAGAATAACTTCTCAGACATGTATTATCTGGGGAAGAGAAATGAGGGGGGAAAATATAAGTATGTATTAACTTGGGAAGAGTATTGAGGTGGAAAAATAATGTTCAATATTGAGTAATCCTGCTTCTGACGAATGGATAAAATAGAAGCAGAAGAGTTAGGTGTCAACTGTCAATTTATCATTACTTGTGCATTAACAATCAACTTGATCTGAATCTTCGCGTATAATTGGGTACAGTCAGCTATTGACTGATTGATTTTGTTATTTTGTTACAGGATGTTCACAGACTCATGCAAGAGATTAAGGATCATGAAAGGCTCGGAGGCTATTGGACTAGGTATATGCCCAGCGACTGATATTTGTTACTTCTCTTTTACTTGGCTTGTGCCCTACTCCTTGAAACTATTGGGTTATGCATTTGAGTCTAATCTGAGAAGGGGAACCAAATTGCATTGCTTGTGTTAGATTGGGCTTCAAATTACTTTGTTATTTCCCTTGCTTGCAGCTCCAAGGGCCATGGAGAAGTGCAAGAACCGAAACTAGTACATCAAGCAACTGCAAAACCAATGAAGAGGCATTTTATGAGGAGCTAAGGGTTTTAGGTTTGCGCTCTGCTCCAAAATCTTGTAATATGGTAGATTTGTAGTGTTCATGGATTGAAAAACTCACTTCTATGTCAAAAATAACTGGAGACATCCAGATTTGTGGTAATTCTATTATTTCTAAATGTGTATTTTTGTACTCAAATTATGTGCAAACGGAGTGTTTGGTGGTTGCAAAACTCAATGTCACTTGTCCCGGTTGCTCTTATAATGTATGGTTTACAAGAGTTTCCATTCCTCATATGAGAAATCACCTTGGAATGCTTGTTGATTGTGTATCCCTTGTAGACAAGAGGGTTACAGGCATCAGGAGTAGATGTCCTACGCAACAATGCATGTAAACAAGAAAATATTCAATGCAACAATGAGATCACATAATCAATCCCATTGGACTGCTAGTTGACTGTGAATTCCTCGAGTTTTATGGTTGCAGATATCATGAGTTGTCACTAGATGTGCTCCACAACCACGAATGTACACGAGTAAATATTTGATACAATAGGGAGATCACAACATCAATTACACGTGGTATCACCTTTTAATAACAAGGTTCTGCATAAGCTATAAATATTTGTCTCACGTGCAGCAAGTTATCCATCTCGTGTGTATATCCATCATAGCCCTATTAACTATTTTTTGAATGTGTAGAATTGTGAAATATGATGTTTATATCGCATGTCATTGTTTATATGATATCACTACTATATTAAATATTTACTCAATGCGCACAGTGTGCCGACCATAACTTGTTTGACCAATGAGCTTATTTCTGTGTACATAATCCTTCTGAGAAACTGCCGCTCAGCAGCTGGGTTATGGAAGTCTCTCACCTGACTTGCGTCGGTCATGGATTCCTCCCATAGCTCTTCACGACCAGATTAACTTGTTCTTTGATCCTTCACATCTTTTCTTTAGAATCACAGCTTAGTTCTAATGCTCCACCCTCTCAAAACCGTAGGTTCATTGGCTGTGATGCACTGGTGTTCCACGGCCTTTCGGCTAATTTCATGTCAAGCATAAGCCATATAAGGCAGGCCTAACTATATGCCATTGGTTAAAGTCTCAGTCACATCATTGGCTAATTTCTTGAATAGTGCCAATTGGCTTACGAAACATGACCCTTCAAGCCTTTTGCTCATCTTCCAGACAGCCCTGCATTCACATGTATAGGAGAAATGTGTATTGTGCTTTCGCAACAGCGTACCTGTAATCTATTCCACCAGTTTGCAGTAAAAGAAGAATTAAAAACCATTGATCTGGAAGGCGTCATGAACGACGGAGAAATGTTACAGCATAATCATCAGGCAGCTAGAATCAGTAGACTTGTATTGACAGCCCAGATACTAATAAAAAATGTAACAAGAAATAGTTATCGAAAATCAAATCTGAAAAGAAACAAGAAAAAAAACAAACAAAGGAAAGAAATAATATTGAACAAACAATCTAAAACAGCTATGAGGGAAGGAGTGTGCATGATATTGACAGATGAATGTTTTGATGCTGTGTCAACCTATAAACTCATTCTAATAAAAATCTTACAGCTTTAAGAATCTTGTTGAGATATCTGAAGATATACCATTTGAGTATATCCATTAAATACAGATGTCTCGAGTGTAGATAAGCCAAGCCTCTGGAACAACCCAAATCTGCCATCTTCGACAATAGGAATAGATACACGAGCGGGATCGTATCTCATTTGATGAGTAAGTGAAGGACCAGCCACTGGAGGGAGCTCCCAATAAACATCTAGCACTGATTCTACAAACCTGCTGTTCTGAAAATGTTGTGTGTAGCTAATTGCCTTGTTACTATGGTTAAAATCATCCCGCATTTGCCCCCTGACACCCCACCATGCTTCACCTGGCCCACAAAGTTCTTCTATATCCAATGCCTTCTCCCAAAATTTTTTCCTTTTTGATCTTATCCTAGCTTCATCACTATCTTTAAAGCAGCTATGGCCACCACCTGATGAAAATAAAAAACCATCATTAACATCACGTTGAGCAATCACCATGCTTAACAGTTAACAGCAAACAGAAAGTGCTTCAAGAATAATATGGTGCAACAAAATGTTTCAGAGCAGGTGATCAAGACCAATATGGTGCCAAAATATATCACCAAATGAAAATACAAACATTTATCTATTATAATTCATATTTTATGTCAGCTTAATTATGAGTTCAGCTACTTGAACTAGTAACAGTTATCCAATAAGTTAAACAACAATCAAGCAATCCAAACAAGAATCAGACCACCTTTCCCGGTAACATTTCTGAGGTCCTCGAGAAACATAGTGTGAGCTAACTGGAAGACCTTAAGGTCCAACCATTGTGTTTGCTCCAGGATTAGAAAAAGAGCCAAATGAACTCAAATAGCATTAGACCCTTAGGCACAAATTATAAGACAGCCAAGCATTTCATATTAAGCACAAAATCTAGGATGCAAGGCATCCATGATTGATATGCGGCCTCAACTAATAGGCAGTAAAGTGAGACAGTACACACCTCTTACATAGAATTGATCACATATCTGCCTGAAGGAATAATGATCACCCGTTCCTGTATCATAGTTGTCCTCAAAAACAAGATGCTTGAAGCCAGCTTTTAGTGCCTGCTTTAATCTGCCATTAAAGTGCGCATTTAAAAAGAAAATGAGATCATCAAATCTGGTGGTGCATATTTAGCTCATTAGAATACTAAGTGGAGAATTATTTATCTGTTACTGGCAAACAATGGTCAATCCAGTTTGAAGCAGCAAATGAAGGGAGTACTTATTATTTCAGATACCAAAGCTACCTACCTTTTCAATTCGTTCTGGTGGTCATCAAAGAAGATAAGAACCCGGCTGAGATCTACAATACGATGTTTCTTCATCACACTTCCCCAGTCAACATTCCCAAAATCCATGAACTCCTTGCCAGCAAAGTAAGTGCAATTCTCATCAACATAAGCAGGCCCTTTCTTAAGGTACTTCTCAGGATGGCGGGGTGAAAGTGACACAATGGGTTTGTCTGGCATTGCTTGCCTCAAGACCCAAGTAGAATGCCCCTTGAAAGCGCCACTCTCAATCATCAGGTCTGGCTTGAGCCATTGGGCAATAAACCAAAGCCCAAAACTGTGGTCAAAACCCATCCCATACATGTTGTTCTTTATAGGTCGTTTTTCATATATTGGTACAAACTCTTCAAGACCTCTGAGTAAATCCTTATGTGTCCATTCAACAGTCTTTCCCTGTTTCGATCTGCCTTTTGACAAAAATAACAATTAAATGGGAATAGACCGCACAAAACTTAATGATGTCATTGCATCACTAATTTTTTTGGAGGAATGGGGCCAGAGATTCATCTGAAAAATACAATAGTCATGAGCAGCAAATAAACGAGTTGACAGATAATGACCTAAAGAGAACAAAGAGTGATAAACCAGAATAATCATTATCTTGAACAACAAATTCTTTGAAACAGAAACCATGAACTTATTCAGAATATGAATGAATGGATATTTGGGTCTCTCAAAGATACTGAATGCCTCCATTGTGTTTTATGTAAAAGAAAAAACTATCACATGTTAAAAAGGAGCACGAATTATAAGAAAGAGCTAACCACAACTAAAGAAAGGGGAACAATTTAAGAATCAAATGAAATGCCCACTGTTTCAATCTCACAATCATTCTTGACAATAAGTTCATTTCCATTACCGAACCCATTCATAAAAATGAATTTCTAAACAAAATTCCTACTAAAACACCATTGTTGCAATTTAGTTCCATGAAATTTCCACAGAACAGCATACAACACAACATTGGCAGCATGGCATGCCGGCCTCCGAACTATTAGTTACTTCCATTCTGTTCGATCAATTCCAACATCGAAATACAATTTCTTCCAATTCCAAAACCCCAATTCCACACTGCCAATGCAGTCTAATACTCCTCCTGTGAATTAAAACCCAGCGGTCCATAATATCATCATTGTTTCGTTATACAGCGAAACAAACAATAAATAAAATATCTATTTCATCGCTCAGCTGAAATATAAAATTCCGCAACGACTCAGAAATTGAGCTTTAGAAATTTCCTTAATTATGCGCATCGAGAAAATACAAAATTTGCAAAGTGAACCAAATTTAACAAATTAAGCTTAGTTCATGCAAGTTCTTATCACAAAAATATACATTTAAAAAAAATCATAACATTGGGATTTTATCTCGATCTAGTTTCTACTTTCTCAGCAACATCTAAATAACTCATACATTGTCCCACAAAATTCACCAATAGCTAATCCAGATCTGACCAGGCGCTAAAATTACATAATCAATAAAACACAGAACCCTCACAACAGATCAAAACTCTCAAAGAGTCGATAATATAAAGCTACTTACACAAGGGGACGCCGAGAGATCCGAAGTCGGATTCGAGGCCGTCGAAGCCAAAGAAACGCATACGAGAGATAGGATCAAAAGCGGAAGATGAAGAAATGCAGACCAAATCGCGAGAGTGAATGATGAGCGAAGAGATTACGATGAGGACGAGACCTAGGACGAGACAAGGCAAGAGATAACCGGTTCGGGTCAAGTAATTTGTGGACCTCATTGCCATAGATAGGTGCTTCCTCGTCTTCGATTCGTCGTCCTCGTCTCCTTCCTCGCTAACTTGCGCCGACCTGCGCGCGGAGAGCACCCTCTCTAGTATTTTCTTCGTACTCATTTCACCAGTGAACTCTCAGTCTCTTGCGTGTTTTGGGTATAAATTGAGGTAGACACGAAACTACTGTTTTACATACTGGGTTGGGCTTGGCTTGGAGTGTTGAGGTGGAATAGAAGTATGGACTTTAGCTTTCAGCCTGGGTTTACTTGGCCCAAAGAATATCCAATGAAGATGGCTACAAAGATTTATTAGTAATGCTAGACTAGGCCGACTAAATTTTGAAATTAAATTTGAAATTCAAATGACATGACAGTTGACTTGGACTTCTTTGATTGATGTGATGTCATTTGAGCCCCAATAAAAATTTCAAATAATCAACTGCCATGTCATTTGGGCGCCAAATTTAGTCCCAAAATTTGATCAGTGTAGCATTACTCAAGATTTATTATCGATCATCCCATGCGATGTACGGAATTGATATATCTTTCTATCCAACCCCTAACCCCACTCCTTACCCCCACCCCCAACTGTATTCTTCTACAATAAATGTTAATATATGCGTATAGACGAATCAGATAAAGTAAGAGTCGTAATTAAAGTGAGACTTTTTAAAAGTAGTTGGTTTATGGTGGAGTTAAAATTCGGGAATTATGATTAGGGATAAAGTAAGAGTCAGTTAAATCAGCACGAGGTTTACTACGAATAGTTATGGCACGTGTTGTGTGTTAGTTGGAGAAAAAATTTAAATTTGCATTTGCAATTCCACAACCTAGAATTTAATAAAAGTTGGAAAAAAATGATTGTCATGGTAATATTTATAATAAATTCATCTATCACCAACATCTCTTTCAAAACTATTTACATTAAATCGTGTCTTCATGAGTCACCCTAGTGGATAGATAATTAATGTATTCAAATGGTATATACAAAACATAAGTGTTTGCTTGTTAATGCATCCATTTTCTTGCAAGATATCTAGGTTTGATTAATATAAAAAGATAGAAATAACTTTTCTCATTCAATTGAGACAATACAAGATTTCTTAAAATGGGTAAAAAAGAATTGGATGAAAGTTAGATAAGGCCTTAAGAGATAAGAACTCCAACGAAAGGACAGAGTCACTTGGTGAATCGGTAGATCATACACTCAGATTCAGGGACATAGAGTCATAGACATGTCTGATTCTTTAGATATGATAAAAAAGTGTTGAAAGAGTGAAGTCGGGAAACAATGATAACCGTGAGGAATAATGGGGGTGTTCCATTCTTTTCGCTACATAAACACATAGCACCAGACCAGGCTAGTCTGGCTCTGGGTCAATTGGCCTAAAGGGCCTTGGTTCAGCCATGAAAGAAGCATGATCTTCTCCTGCTAATATCACAACATTGCAGTCCGGCAATGTCATCCTCACACAACTCCGATGCAACTGCCCTTGATCTTGGGGCTGCATCTCCATCCCATCGTTGGAACTCCTGTTGCTACCCGAATCATCGCCCTTCAACAATCGATAAACTGTGTAACAGATTATACGAAGAGCGATAACAATGGCTATGATTATCAAAGCTGATATGATATATGATTCTGCAGAAGAATGTCTGCACCCAAACACAAGTCCTAGACAGACCATGGCTTAGCATGTTGCAATTTTGCATATGATGAAGGATAAAAAGCTAGAGGAGGAAGACACAATTTGCCTTGGTTCTTTCCTTGTGGGTATAATAGTTCACCCCCTATTTATCTTTAATTAATAACATTTTGATCCCTTACGTGCCAAGTAAGGAACCTTTAACATATGTTTTATACTTTGTTTCTTTGACCTATTCCAGTCAGGACGTACAGTGGGCTTTTGGATCAGAGAATACGGCATCTGAGACTCTTTCTCTTGGACTGATCGAAGAGTTACTAACAAAAGGGTGAAAGTCGGATTGAGAATAAACTAAAAGATTAGAGATCAAATACAACAGTAAAATTCGTTTATGTTACGAAAAGACAGATGAATTTGGGTAGAGCACACACTGCTGACCAATCGATTAAATCTATTATTGTAGAGTTTTTTCAAGGAAGTATTCAATTAGAGTCATTCACGTTTAGAGTCATTCCGACCATTATCTTATGTTATATTAAGTTTGTTAGAAGAAAATGATATTTTGTTTGATTTTGATGTACATCTCTATTTATTGCAATTTGGGGTGAGAAGTTGAAGTTTGTTCAGTTCTTTGATGTGTACATTTTTGGGTCAATTTATGTGTGTCTAGATCATAAAAGATAAAAATGAGAATTTTTGAAAGAAATAAAAAAAAAGGCTGATTTCACCGGAATCTATAGATATTTTTTTTTTCCTGAAAACAGAGAAATCTCAATGCCTGTCTTCAGCGAGTAGAGACACGCTTATGTCGCTCAGACTCGTAACTCTGAGGAGAACCAATGACAAAACTCCAGGTGTATGAACCGATTCTTCAACTTATACACCAGTTAAATCAAGACTTTTGTTTTGTCAGGACTCAAGATCTACACCAAAGACTTGGATACGATTCGTTTAAGCAACTGAAGTTTTGTCTTACCAAATACCCAGGAAACTACGAATCGAACTCTATAGATATTTTTTACATTTGACTAAACATGGGAGGTACCCATAAAATAGAAGCCAAAACTAGGAGGGGTGCAATATATTTTCTGAAACCATTAAAAGACTGATTGCAGTCTCAGTAAACTTGGGGGGTATGAGTATAATTTTCTGGGAGAATTTCACTTTATGCACTAAAAGATTTAAAAGTTTTTATTTTATATCCTCTAATATAAAATTTTTCATATTACACCCTAAATTTATTAAAAATATTATAATGTGACATTCTGTTAGTTTCTATTACTCATTTTGTCAATATTAATAGATTGACTTTTGAAGAAATAAGTAATAGATATTAACGAAAGGGCTATATTATAATACTTTTAACATAATAACGAGATAATATAAAAGCATATGAAATAAACTTTTTTGAGATAAAATATATATTTAACCTTCAAAGTATGTTTCAAATATCTGTCAAAAAATTATTAACATCTCTAGTCATGCGTCAATCATGTCAGATACGTGATTGACGTTTGACCAAAATCATTACAATTTTTTGAAGGACGTTTGGAATTGAACTACGTAGATACAAATTAAGAACCTTAATAATCAAATAGATATAATTAGAAGATTGGGACCAAATAAATACTAAACCTATACTTTTGGGGCTAAAACTGTATTTTACCCAAATTTTTAAATATTTTGGAGAAATACTATGGTTTTGTGGATTAATCTCACTGATTTCGCCGACGACGGTGTAGCAGTTGCACGAATGATAGCTAGCACTTGCAGGTCTCTCTTCAGGTACACATACGTTCTCGAAATCTCAAACCCTAACTCAATTGGAAAAAGTAGGCTCTTCTTTCCCGATTCATTACTCTCTTCTGTCATGAGTTTAGTTTTCTGTTTCAAACTGTAAAGATTAATGTAATTATTTCTATGTATGGATATTTTTGTTATGAGAATTATAAGGGATTCTATTTTATTATTATCTCCGCAGATTCNTTCTATAGATATTTTTTTTTTCCCGAAAACAGAGAAATCTCAAAGCCTGTCTTCAGCGCGTAGAGACACGCTTATATCGCTCAGGCTCGTAACTTTGAGGAGAACCAATGACAAAACTCCAGGTGTATGAACCGATTCTTCAACTTATACACCAGTTAAATCAAGATTTTTGTTTTGTCAGGACTCAAGATCTACACCAAAGACTTGGATACAATTCGTCTAAGCAACTGAAGTTTTGTCTTACCAAACAGCCAGGAAACTACGAACCGAACTCTAGATATTTTTTACATTTGACTAAACATGGGAGGTACCCATAAAATAGAAGCCAAAACTAGGAGGGGTGCAATATATTTTCTGAAACCATTAAAAGACTGATTGCAGTCTCAGTAAACTTGGGGGGTATGAGTATAATTTTCTGGGAGAATTTCACTTTATGCACTAAAAGATTTAAAAGTTTTTATTTTATATCCTCTAATATAAAATTTTTCATATTACACCCTAAATTTATTAAAAATATTATAATGTGACATTCTGTTAGTTTCTATTACTCATTTTGTCAATATTAATAGATTGACTTTTGAAGAAATAAGTAATAGATATTAACGAAAGGGCTATATTATAATACTTTTAACATAATAATGAGATAATATAAAAGCATATGAAATAAACTTTTTTGAGATAAAATATATATTTAACCTTCAAAGTATGTTTCAAATATCTGTCAAAAAATTATTAACATCTCTAGTCATGCGTCAATCATGTCAGATACGTGATTGACGTTTGACCAAAATCATTACAATTTTTTGAAGGACGTTTGGAATTGAACTACGTAGATACAAATTAAGAACCTTAATAATCAAATAGATATAATTAGAAGATTGGGACCAAATAAATACTAAACCTATACTTTTGGGGCTAAAACTGTATTTTACCCAAATTTTTAAATATTTTGGAGAAATACTATGGTTTTGTGGATTAATCTCACTGATTTCGCCGACGACGGTGTAGCAGTTGCACGAATGATAGCTAGCACTTGCAGGTCTCTCTTCAGGTACACATACGTTCTCGAAATCTCAAACCCTAACTCAATTGGAAAAAGTAGGCTCTTCTTTCCCGATTCATTACTCTCTTCTGTCATGAGTTTAGTTTTCTGTTTCAAACTGTAAAGATTAATGTAATTATTTCTATGTATGGATATTTTTGTTATGAGAATTATAAGGGATTCTATTTTATTATTATCTCCGCAGATTCGACTCATATGTGATATCAAAGGTCCTACATGATTTACAGGTTTAGCTGTTTCTCTGTTCCTCAACTTGAATTCAGTTTAATTGGAACTAGCATATAATAAGCTCTATTTCGTTGCTTTAACTGTTTGGATAAGTAAACAATATAATTCTATTTGAGTTATGTTGCCACTTGCTATTTATGTGTAAGCTCAAAAGCTTCCTTCTACGGAGAAAGGGGTGTAGTGGGTTTTAGGGTCTACTTGACTAAATTTGATTTTAGTATCGTTCTCAGGTCATCTCCGGTCTTGAATTAATTTTTTACTCAAAATTTGAGTAAAAAGTTTAATTTAATACAAAACACTCTAATGGAGGAACTCAAACTCAAAGTTTAATGGAAACAAAGTCAAATTTAAACGAAGACAAACTCAAATTTAAAAAATGACAGAATATGACCATTGACTCTTTAAAATAGGATAAAATCTGACTATTCAATGACTGAGTCTTCCTTTATTTGGTATGGGCTTGAATAAAGGACTGGTGTTGCTTTTAGCCTTTTTTATTCAAATTTAAATTTGAGTAAGAGTTTGTGTAAGAATCAGAGATGCTCTTATATGAAGTAACCAGACAATGAAATTTGGGATAGGATCCTCATGTTCCAGTTTTTGAGACTTTAATATTGTGCAAAGCCATATAGGAATAACTTAACTATTTTTTAAGCTTGCATAGGATTGCCAATGAGGGTGAGCCTTGGTGTAACAGTANGAGTTTGTGTAAGAATCAGAGATGCTCTTATATGAAGTAACCGGACAATGAAATTTGGGATAGGATCCTCATGTTCCAGTTTTTGAGACTTTAATATTGTGCAAAGCCATATAGGAATAACTTGACTATTTTTTAAGCTTGCATAGGATTGCCAATGAGGGTGAGCCTTGGTGTAACAGTAAGATTGTTCCATTGTGACTGTCAAAGGTACGAGTCGCAAAAATAACCTTTCTATATGGAGGTTAAAGATACATGCATCTGACCTTCTCTAAATCGTGTAGTTGCGGGAACTTCTTGCACTGAGCCACACTTTATAGGATTGCCAATGATAAAACATGTTAACTCATCCTGAGTTTGCGAAGCAGGTAAAAAGGTAGAATTTTGAGTAGCTATAGGGAAATCATATGAGAAGGAAGGTTTTCTTCTTGTGGTGTTTCACGAGGGCCCCATCTTTATATGATGCCGGTATGGGTTTTCCCTAGGACGAAATAGTAGTTGGCGTCATAGATTTTCGTCCCTATTCTGACAAATGCAATGCATTTGAACTTTGAAGCATGTTTCAGATTTCATTGCTGTTTTCATACTTATTTGGGTTACTTTTACCTTCACTCTTTTCATGCTTAACTCGTGGCAGAGGCGCCATATGTATCATGGTTTGAACTATTGCTCAAAAATGGATGGTAAAAAAGTTACGCAACAGGCTATGGATCGGAAAAAGCAAAAAACAGTAACCACTCCTGTATGGAGACCAGTCTCTACTCAATCCAGTTCCTACGAGGGTGAGGTTCTCCTACTTAGCAACTCCATATCACTCCCTATGCCTCAGATTATTTTTCCAATATTGCAATTACACACCTTATTTTATATTTGTTGAGTCAACTGCCCTGAAGTTGTAAAATGACAACTGGCACTGAAGATACCAGAAGTTCGAGATTCCATTGAAGCATCATATAACCACTCATTTTAGTTGTGTTGTATTTATGCTATAGAGCAATGTCTTATTTGAGGACCTTGAACAATTCATATAGCAAGAACCGATCATAATAAGACTGATGAATAGGTTAAATCCAAATGGAGTTAGTAGATTGTTTAGTGAACTATGTAAAGGGCAATTTTGAAAATTCGTGTGATTTAGATGAAGGTATGAAACCAGATGTNCGAAATAAGTAATAGATATTAACGAAAGGGCTATATTATAATACTTTTAACATATTAATGAGATAATATAAAAACATATGAAATAAATTTTTTTGGGATAAAATATATTTTTAACCTTCAAAGTATGTTTCAAATATCTGTCAAAAAATGATTAACATCTCTAGTCATACGTCAATCATGTCAGATACGTGATTGACGCTTGACCAAAATCATTACAATTTTTTGATGGACGTTTGGAATTGAACTACGTAGATACAAATTAAGAACCTTAGGAATCAAATAGATATAATTAGAAGATTGGGACCAAATAAATACTAAACCTATAATTTTGGGGCTAAAACTGTATTTTACCCAAATTTTTAAATATTTTGGAGAAATACTATGGTTTTGTGGATTAATCTCACTGATTTCGCCGACGACGGTGTAGCAGTTGCACGAATGATAGCTAGCACTTGCAGGTCTCTCTTCAGGTACACATACGTTCTCGAAATCTCAAACCCTAACTCAATTGGAAAAAGTAGGCTCTTCTTTCCCGATTCATTACTCTCTTCTGTCATGAGTTTAGTTTTCTGTTTCAAACTGTAAAGATTAATGTAATTATTTCTATGTATGGATATTTTTGTTATGAGAATTATAAGGGATTCTATTTTATTATTATCTCCGCAGATTCGACTCATATGTGATATCAAAGGTCCTACATGATTTACAGGTTTAGCTGTTTCTCTGTTCCTCAACTTGAATTCAGTTTAATTGGAACTAGCATATAATAAGCTCTATTTCGTTGCTTTAACTGTTTGGATAAGTAAACAATATAATTCTATTTGAGTTATGTTGCCACTTGCTATTTATGTGTAAGTTCAAAAGCTTCCTTCTACGGAGAAAGGGGTGTAGTGGGTTTTAGGGTCTACTTGACTAAATTTGATTTTAGTATCGTTCTCAGGTCATCTCCGGTCTTGAATTAATTTTTTACTCAAAATTTGAGTAAAAAGTTTAATTTAATACAAAACACTCTAATGGAGGAACTCAAACTCAAAGTTTAATGGAAACAAAGTCAAATTTAAACGAAGACAAACTCAAATTTAAAAAATGACAGAATATGACCATTGACTCTTTAAAATAGGATAAAATCTGACTATTCAATGACTGAGTCTTCCTTTATTTGGTATGGGCTTGAATAAAGGACTGGTGTTGCTTTTAGCCTTTTTTATTCAAATTTAAATTTGAGTAAGAGTTTGTGTAAGAATCAGAGATGCTCTTATATGAAGTAACCGGACAATGAAATTTGGGATAGGATCCTCATGTTCCAGTTTTTGAGACTTTAATATTGTGCAAAGCCATATAGGAATAACTTGACTATTTTTTAAGCTTGCATAGGATTGCCAATGAGGGTGAGCCTTGGTGTAACAGTAAGATTGTTCCATTGTGACTGTCAAAGGTACGAGTCGCAAAAATAACCTTTCTATATGGAGGTTAAAGATACATGCATCTGACCTTCTCTAAATCGTGTAGTTGCGGGAACTTCTTGCACTGAGCCACACTTTATAGGATTGCCAATGATAAAACATGTTAACTCATCCTGAGTTTGCGAAGCAGGTAAAAAGGTAGAATTTTGAGTAGCTATAGGGAAATCATATGAGAAGGAAGGTTTTCTTCTTGTGGTGTTTCACGAGGGCCCCATCTTTATATGATGCCGGTATGGGTTTTCCCTAGAACGAAATAGTAGTTGGCGTCATAGATTTTCGTCCCTATTCTGACAAATGCAATGCATTTGAACTTTGAAGCATGTTTCAGATTTCATTGCTGTTTTCATACTTATTTGGGTTACTTTTACCTTCACTCTTTTCATGCTTAACTCGTGGCAGAGGCGCCATATGTATCATGGTTTGAACTATTGCTCAAAAATGGATGGTAAAAAAGTTACGCAACAGGCTATGGATCGGAAAAAGCAAAAAACAGTAACCACTCCTGTATGGAGACCAGTCTCTACTCAATCCAGTTCCTACGAGGGTGAGGTTCTCCTACTTAGCAACTCCATATCACTCCCTATGCCTCAGATTATTTTTCCAATATTGCAATTACACACCTTATTTTATATTTGTTGAGTCAACTGCCCTGAAGTTGTAAAATGACAACTGGCACTGAAGATACCAGAAGTTCGAGATTCCATTGAAGCATCATATAACCACTCATTTTAGTTGTGTTGTATTTATGCTATAGAGCAATGTCTTATTTGAGGACCTTGAACAATTCATATAGCAAGAACCGATCATAATAAGACTGATGAATAGGTTAAATCCAAATGGAGTTAGTAGATTGTTTAGTGAACTATGTAAAGGGCAATTTTGAAAATTCGTGTGATTTAGATGAAGGTATGAAACCAGATGTTGGAAGTCAAATTGAAGTGCAGTATGGCATTTTGAGCAGGGTTATTCATATTCAACATGCAGATGGTGCAGCTGACATACCAAATGAACCTCATGATCCAAATTTTAGTTCTGGAGCATTGCAGGATAGTGATGAAGGCACAGTTCCAGAAGGAGGATTGATGCCCTCTGTTGAGAAGCATTCGATTTCGCTGGAGGTAATATCGTATTTATTAAACCGTTTGAGTTTTTTTATCTTACCAAGTCACGTGAGTTTTTTATTTACCTGAGAGTACTCAGTTTGATCATGCAATTATGCTAGGGCTAGCATTATTCATATACTTTTGATGTTGTATCAAAACATTGATATTCTCCAGACGTTATCAAGGCATCGTCATGCCTTCTCCAGATCTGGACACTGGCATCAGTGATTGTAGTGATTCTTTACCATCTTGCGAATGTGTTTTTTCAACTCCTTTAATGTATCAGAAAGTTCATTTGAAATTGGTTTCTAAAATATGAAGTTTGTGAATATATTCAGTTACTCAATTATGAACTCGATTTGTATGTGAGTTTTTCATCTTGGAGGAATATGGAAAATGACATTGATTCACTGGCCTGTGTTTGGAACTATAATCAAGGAACCCACAATAAAGAAGTTGATGTGTACGATAATTAGTCTTGGCTAACCTTTGTAAATTTGTTTTTTTTTTTAATCTCCCTCTCCCTCTCTTCTGGGCTGTTATATCATATTCTTTTTCTTTGTTTTTTGCCATGCAGATAGGAGCTTCCTTGATGCGTTTCATCAAAGGAAAAGGGTAGCCGTCAGCCTGTAATCTCATTTAGATTAAACATAATGCATAAGTATATATATGTGTGCTGACCTCAATTTATAATTCCTTGAATAGAGGGTCCACACATAAAAGAATTGAAGAGGACATGGGAGTCAGAATAATATTCCCATCATCAAGAAAGGAGGATTCTATCAGTAAGTTAGTTTTGGTCAAGAAGTTTTTATATTGTACATGGTCCTTATGGTTAAATTGTTGTTTTGAACCATAAACTTTATTTTGGCATTGCCATGATTGTCATTTATTGACTTGAGTTTCATTTCTGATCTCATATCCCAAAGGTTGAGTAATGCTAGATGGACTTAAAAATTAGACTTGATAATCTTAACCATTGATTTCACTGTGGGTCCCAGCATTTATTGGGACCCACTACCTATTCAATGGTTGAGATTATCAAGTCTAATTTTGAAGTCCATCTAGCATTACTCCCCAAAGGTTTCATTGTTGGGTCATATATTTAGGCTTGTTTTTAAAAATCATCACACTGCATGTGTTGTATTGACTTTCAAACCATCTTAACATGGTCATCAACCTTTAATCTTCTGGGTTCCATTATGTGTTGGCCTTAGGAGCAATTGCTATTGTCTATATAACCTTACTAAATAGATATGTTTTATTCTTGGAAGATGAAAGCTGTGTTGCTTTCATACGTTTTGCATCATTACCTAGTTATTTGCGTGTTTCTCCCTCCCTCATTGGGGCTGAATTTTGGTCATACAGTAAACCTCACATCCGATATTGTTGGCTGTATCAGTATGGATTTTCAGTTTCTGTTTGAATTTGTGATGGGTTGACAGCACCAGCTAACCTTTGTCTAGCATAGGTTGGTTAAGTTTTTGACACAGTAATTTGTTGCAGTCATTGAAGGCATTTCTGCTGAAAGTGTAACTAGAGCTTCCAAAAGAATACAAGCCATAATCGATGAGGTCAGTTACCATTGCATTTCTATAAAATCTCTTACAGTTGGTGTATAAAGTATGCTACGCACCAAAAAGATATAATTCAAGTTCAAACATCCATTATGTTTTGCATTTGGTCCATGATATGTGCCATGCATGTGGTTGGCGAAACATGCAGGAGCTAATGGCTTATCTATTGCTTAAAGAAGAATGCCTTACAACATCTTTAGGCACTATGCACAAAGCTCAAGTTTGATCCAAAACTTGAGATAATGGGTGTAAACCGAAAGAAGATTCATAAGTAGTTGTTAATGGAGTTGAAGTTACCAAATTTTGAGGAGTCAGTATAAATTTATGCCTAATTGCTCCACATATAGTTCCTTGAACTACATTTTCTAAACAAACTAGAGCCAATCCGAATTTTGGTGGTAGAAAGTAAATTGGTGTTCCTTGCAATCTTTTCAGCCTTTTAGAAAAATTATTTCTATCACCTGCTGCTTTTCTTGTATAATGGACCTTCATTATTCTATTGTTTTTTTTTAATATTCTTCTTGATTGTTCATATGGGTAGATGAATGAAGTGATTTGTCATTATTATTTTACATTAATTCAAAAACTTAGTTATGAACAAAGTGATTGCATTGGACGAATTTTTCATTTGAGCATGAATCTATAGTTCTTTCATCATTTGCAAAGCTGGTAAATATATTATTTTCATACGCATATATCTTCAACAGGCAGTTGAAAGTCCAACTCTCGATTACTCTCACTTTGTATCACTTCCATTGGCTATACATCCAGAACTGGTTGATAAGCTTGTCAATTTTCAGAATTCAATACTAGGAATTACCGATCCTAACAAAGATGAGAATCTGGATAGTGATTCAAATAGAGATACTTCAGATGAAGAAGACAAGGACCTGCATTTTGATAAGGCAACTCATGTTGCCGTTGAACTTAAAGCTGAAAGCAGTAGTGAACGCGTGAAAGTGGATATAACCAACATACCTCTTGTAAGTTACGCACCCAAAGCATCAAATTCCTCTGCCTCGGTATCAAAGACTTCTGTCATATCTGGTATGGAAACAATTATAGTCTATGGTTGTGAAACAGTTCTTTTCTTAGTTTATCATCTGATGCAGCTTCATTTATTATTTTTTAGACCTATATTTCTCTTATTTGGGGGTTGGGGTGGGGGGTGCCAGGGGTAATATATCTCCCCATAATATACCTTTGGTTCTAGTTAATCCTTGTGTATCTCATGAGCATAGCATATATAAGTTCAACCAAAATTTTCTGAAATTTTTTTCATCTGTGTGTGGTTTCATCTCATTTCTTCTCCTTTCCTTGTTTTTTGTCTTTCTATTCCAATCATGACAGAATTGGGGATTGAGAAATCCATATTTATTAAACCAAAAACATTTCACTTAACTGTTCTCATGCTGAAATTGTGGAACAAAGAACGAGTTGCTGTTGCTTCTCAGGTTTTGCAGGTAAAGTTCTACTAGTCGAACGGTATGGGCTGACTGCAGTTTAATTTTTTGATGACATGTTTCCTGTCCTTTACCAGAGTGTCTCCTCAGAGGTAATTGATGCCTTGGAAAGCCAGCCTGTCTCTATAAAACTTAAGGGGCTGGTAAGGTTCTTGCCTCTGTTATATGTTGCTCAATTTTACAAAGTTAATTTAAATGACCCCAAAGAATGCATGTGAGATCTAATTCTTCATGCTTCTAGGAATGCATGAGAGGTTACTTGGCCAAAGCTCGTGTTCTTTATGCTCCCGTAGAAGAAATTGGTGGCAAGGGCCGCCTTATACGAGCCTGCCGTATCCATTTGAACATCTTTCTCATATCTTTTCTCTATTCTTTACATGCAATATTAATAAAAAAAAGTTTACTGGTTATCAATAATGTTGTTTGTGACTTGGGTGCTGTTTTAATAAATACTTTTGCTATTCTTGAGCTTTCCTTAGAGGTCATCATTGATGCGTTTGTTAAAGCTGGTCTAGTTCTTGAGAAAGATGCACAACAAAAGTTAAAGGTATGACATATGAACTTTCAGATCCTTCTTTCTCATTTTTTATTGATAAAGAATTTTTCATTTCTAATACAATAGTGCTTTAATTTCTAATGCTTGTTTAGAGTTGTTAATACGCTGCTTATTACTGGACACTTTGTGCTTTCATATGTGTGTTTTAACTGCATATTCTTGCTTTCTTTAGCTTTCCGTTGCTGTCTGGGAGATGGATATGCACATTAGTTTGTAAACATAAATCATTGCTGCTGTGAGCAATATTTTAATTTAAGCAACTGGAGCTATGGGATGTAGGACCAGAGAGGGTAAGAGAAAAGCATGGGAGAAAGTTTATAGAAATGGAGGAAAGAAGAGGAGAATTAGAAAAGCAGTAGGACGGAGAAGGAGACAAACAAGAAATACAAGGAAGAACAGATAGCATAGCAGGAAAAGAAAGAAGCACAGAGAGAGAGAGAGAGAGATAAAAGAGAGATTTGGAGAGCAATTTCATCAGTATTTACTTTACTAGCCAATTACTGGCCTATTTATCATGCTAAGCTCATCTGATCTCTTTGTGGTCCTTATTCACAAAGTTCCTCCTTGCCCAAGTAGTCATACCTTCCCAACCCAAAAGCCCACCCACCCAAAAGGAAAAGAAGAAAAGACATTACTCGTGGTTCATTGGTCTTTTCTTTATGCATACAGGATCTTTGTAACTGCTATTCAATTAGGAACTTTGAAGCACCACAGTTATTCCCAAGGCTAGCCTAACACCATCTAAGAAAAGTATTTTGAGCTGAAAAGTTGTTGTGTGTTCGTTTGGAATTCGATTGAACTTTGCGCCCATATTATTTTACCACCATCTGCCAAGGTTGTATATCTACACAAGGAGATCTTTACGAGTTTGTGCTTATTTATGTTCCTCCCATCCTTATTTATATTCTCTTTGATCTCTCTAATATGATTTTTTTCCCTATATTCCCCTCAACTGCAGTTGCATGCAACTGTGATGAATTCAAGACACAGAAAAATGTATGTACTTCATCCTCATTCTTTATTTGTTTTTTAATTTTTAATTTCTGGATTTTTAGTTTTCCTTGGTATTTGGGATTTTACGCCCTGCTGTGTCTAATCTATAAGGAATTGGGGTTATTCAGGAAGGAAAGGACAAGAAGGGTCGATTCCTTTGATGCACGAAGCATTGTCAATCAGTATGGTTCAGAAGAATGGGGAGAGTATCTTATCTGTGAAGCTCATCTCTCACAAAGGTTTGTGTTCGATGAAAACGGATATTACCATTGCTGTGCTTCCATTCCTTTTCCTGAAGACATGCAAGTCGGTTGATTCATTTTTCTCGAATGTGTGACTTATGTCTTTCAGTAGAAAACTAGTATTGAGATTTGAGTAATTGTTATTTATATTTCTTTGGGTAGCATCTTGTTGCACACTGCTATTACACACAGATTTTTGAATTCTATTTTAAAATTAGGTTGTATTTTATTTAACCCAGAGATATTTGGTTTGCTCACTGAGTTATCGTGTTGAATTTCATGGTTAAAAACTGCTTCAAGTCCACTGCTGTGAAAAATACTCTATTCAAAATTTTTTGAGCCCTTGGGATCCTTTCAGGCCATGATAATGCTGTTTTCCTAGCTTCACATAGGGTATGGTGAAATGGCAAAATATTGAACATGAGAACAAGTAACTTTAAGTTACATATAGACATACACCTTCGGAATAAAGTCAAACTAATTTGTTTCAGTGTCGTAGATACAATTACTGGAGGAAATGTTATAGCTTCAAGTAAGTGCAGATTTTACACTTAAAAGTAGGCTGTTGAGGGACACTTTTTTATGCCTGGACCTGTGTGATCACAAGTAACTTCTGTACCAGGCATTGTTACGCAGTTTGTGTAGAGCTGATCGTGTTGAGAAACCTCAAGAATGGATCAGTGTCTAGTTGTAGTTGATCTTGGGTAGCTCACAGAAAAATGCATTATCGGTTATGCAGACAATTGCCCAATGAGTTCATGCCATGGTTACTGTGCCTCTTCTCGTTCTCTAAGAAAGATGAGATGTGTAAGGAACCTTACGCTAAGAGGAAGACACCCCCTTGATTGAATTATTCCATGGGGATCAACATTGGCTCCATACCTCCAAAGTGGAATATGGAAATTCAATTTATGTGAAGAACTAGTTTGCCTGTTCTGGATAGCTTTTTGAGCCCGTGGACTTGAAATTTGGCCTCTATCCTAAAGTATAGTGTTAAGAAATTAAAGAAACAAAAAGCTAACAGAAAATTAATAAACATTGGCATTGAGTAGGGCTGTTAATCAAATTGAGCAACTCGAGTTTGGTTTGAGTTCAGCTCAGGTTTGGCTCGTTCAAGCTCTGTTTGTTTTCTAAACGAGTCCAAACTTGAACAAGTTTGTAGATTCGTTTAAAAAATAAGCCCTATAAGTTCAGCTCAAATAAGCTTATAGGGTTCGGCTCAGGTTCGAGTTGTTTTTGGTTCGTTTAAGCTCGGTTTGTTTTCTAAACAAGCTGAACATGAATAATTTTTTAAACTCGATTAAAAAATAAGCTTTTCAAGCTTGACTCGGGGTCGTTCGACTAACAGTCTTAGTATTTGGTACATCTGATTGCAAAAGGAGGCAGTTATCCAAAACTGTAAACAACTAGCAGTTGCCCTCCCACCCAAAAATGAAGATAAAGGAGAAAGCAACCGGAACTGGTTTCTTTTGACAGCTACTGACTTTTTTTATGAATGCATCACCAGTTCACGAGGGGGACCAGCGGAAGGTAAGGTTGTCACTGGCCTGTTAATTGAATTTAATAAAGATTTACTACAGCTAGTGGTTTGAATATAGCACCTACAATTAAGAAGTTATGAAGAGGGCAGACATTGGTGTAACAATGACATTTTCGGCACAAAAGAAATCCTTTTTAGACTCAGTTTGTCGTCAGTTTGCAAATCGCAGGTGGGGGCGAACTATTAGAGGCCCATTCAGACGGTTAGTCAAAATAGAAAATCTAAAACATCTTAGTGAATCAGACCCACATATCATGGCCAACAATTCCAATCACCGAGGGACCAAGAACCCTCTCAATGATGGGGACAATGAAGAGGTTCACTGGCCCTAACCCTCAACTGAACCGTACAGCCCTGACAAATCAACAAATGAGGCAATTAGTCACGTGCAGGGATAAAGTTGGTTAAGCATGTTTCTCCTTAGACCGTGCATTATTCGGAACTTCATAGACTGAGTTTTGCCTTTTCTTCGGATACGGGAAAATCACATGACCTGACGAATAGAGATTCACTTATGTTACTCAAATTTGTGATTTTAAATAAAATTAAGTGTAAAATTTGGGTGTATAAATCGGTCCCTCAACTCATACACCATTTAAATCAAGACTTATATTTTATAAAAGACTCAAAATCCACACTAGACATTTAAATATGATTCATTCAAATAACTGAAATTTTATCTTATCAAATAACCACGCTATTTATACTTAGGAGATTTCAAACCCCTGACCTACCGCTGTGAAGCCGAAGGCACTGGGCCAGCCTAGTTGGTTAGTTTTGCCTTTTAAGATCATATATGTATAGGTATGGCAGATTGGAAGGTATATATTGCCAACCAATCGGGTCGACAGGTTTGGACAAATGGATTGGACGAATAATGAGGTACGTGTCAGTTTTTTGTACCATAGGTTAGGTTGCGACTTGTCCACATTGAAAACCTACCCTCTGCCACACATATACAGTGGATGCAACAGCTGCTATAACTTCGACTGCAGAGTGGGAATAGTTAAGTGACACTTTTGACGTCTTATTTGGCGAGCGAGATGTTTACTGAGGCGCCTTAGCCTAACGATTTGTATAGTGCCAATGACACTGCCTTAATAATAGTAACAACTAAAGTTAGAGAGTGAATGATATGCATTTGCAATAAGCTAGCTAATTGAAACAGTTAGTGTAGGAGAAAGCACAACTTGTTAGACACTGTTATTCCAATATCATGTAATTTCAAAATAATTAAACACCCACTTTGTTGAGACAAATCTCACATAGTTTGTTTCTTCATCCATCATTCTTCTTCCTTCTAATTAAAATGGCTGCCCTGAATCTTCTTCTCCACCCATGAAGGCGACAAGACTGGATTCATTTCACACTCTAAAATTTCTGACTGCTGATCGTTCTCAACTGATTTCGATTTTTCTGAGTTCATCGTCTCAGAAGGATATACTTTAACACGCCATACCTTGAAAGTTTGATCCAAGCTCGTACTATAAACTAGCAATCCAATTACGATATCCATCGTTTCCAAAGAAGCTGCTAAACACCTTACCGGTCCGTGATGACCATCAATGACTGCAAGACAAGAATGGAAGGAATTTCCTTCCTCTCTCCTCCATACCCTAATAGTTGCATCCTCTGAACCACTAAGGACCAGGTCTCCTATTGATACTAAGCAAAGAACTGCAAAGTGATGACCTTGTAGAAATCCTCCATGATTATATCTGCCAGACATTTTCCCCTTCTCCCAGAAGTTGATCAGCCCATCAGACGACCCGGAGTAGAGGAAGCAACCACTGGGAGACAGGCTGAAAGCCAAGGTATTAACGGGTGATGGTTGGAACTTTAGTGTCATGGTGAGAATGTGTGAGCTTTCTCCAAAAACCCTTCTCCATATTTTCACTGTGCCATCGGAGGAGCATGTGAAGACACACCCATCTTCTTGGTTGATCACAATTGCGTTAACATGACCTTCATGAGCCACAAATGAATCAACGCATTGTCTTCCCGAAATTTTCCAAGCTTTAACTGTCTTATCCCATGAACCTGTGTATAGAAGGTTTTCTGCATAGTTGTAAGCTATACATGAGATATAATCTTTATGTTGATGGATATTCTTCCTTGGATACGAGAAAAATGACCTCCTTCGAGGTAAGGTTGTGATCTTCTTGGGCCGAAAGCTTTCTGTTAATGACACATCCCACACACGTATTTTGTAGTCACCGTGTGTGGTGAAAAGCAGTTTTCCTTTAGCCAATATTGCTCGAATTTCTCCAGATTTAGCCTTGATATATCCCATTTCAGTGCAATCTGGTTGCTTCCATGCATGAATCCTACTACTCTCTGAGCCAGTGAATATGAAGTCTTTGGACACTGTTATAGAGAAAATATTACCTTCATTTCGGTGCAGCGAGGCCACGCAATGGTAGAGAAGAGACGGGGTCGGAGATGTGCGCATGGGGGATCGAGTCCACGGTGTCTCGGGGCTTGTTGGCCAAAGTGGGAATGGTGCCGCGGAAGCACAAGATGTTCTTGCAGAAGTGAAATGAGAATCAGATTCATGGTTACCAAATGAGAGTCTCCTAGGTAAATTTATGTTCTTCCTTTCTTCATCCATGAAGATCCAAAGGTTTTTTTCCTCACCGAAATCCATGGCAGATGAGCTGAGAGAGCTAGAAAAAGGAACGATACCGAGAAGTAAGATTGATTGAATCTTGACATTATAGCAGTGGTGTGTTGATTTTGTAAATGGGGTTTTGCTTGAAGGGGACCAGTGAGCTTTCAAGGCATTAAAAAGGTATGCCATCGATCCTTAGGCTTTGGGATGTTGATGTCCTGAACTAAAAAATGACGAGTAAAATAATAACACAATAAAATAAAAAAAATAAAACACAAAGATTTACGTGATTGAGTTCAACAAGTAAGTTTATGTCTATAAACGAAACATAGCGGTAAAGTTTTACTATGAAAAGTTGAAGATTACAAAGTTTTCGAAACAAAAGGCAAAAGACAATCCACCCGCTCTATTCTAATATTACAATAATTATTGAACAAACAAAATAGAGCAAACCAAATTCCTATTCAAAGAAAATTTGATGACGCCGTTAACCAACTTGGAGTACCGAAAATTCCCATGCTTTTATACTGGAGAACTACTTTAAGGCAAAGAGTTTAAATCACATAAATCTATGTAGGAGTAAAACTCATCACCGGTTGAATACTTCGATATGTTCCCAATTAAATAATGAAACAATCTTCTATTTGAAAACAAATACTCTTAAGTTTTATTCAAAGAGTCCATCCACTTCTTGAACTATCACCAAGATGATTTTCAACATAAGCACTAACGCCATCACGAAATTCAATTCCACCAACTTAGAATTCAAGTCATACATTAACATCTTGAATACAATAGATTTCTCTATTATTTGTCATTCCCAAACCAGACACCTAGTGGTGCTAAAAGAGCCTATACCCCCATTGTATGAGGTAGGATCATAGAGAAATGGATTCAGGTTTTTTATATTTTGTCTGATTACCAATGTCCCCATAGCATCTAAACCCTCCTTAAAATCCGGTGATGCCAGTTTCATGCACTACTGTCTTCTAACATCGTCTACATAGTAAATGATGGGATGATTCTATAATTAAGGGGGACGCAACATGTGTCCTTGACATATTGGTTGCGGAGTATTTTTTGAACGACACATGTCCACGGCATCTTGTCCGCGAAGTGTTCTTTGGATGACACACGTCTTTAAGAATCTTGTCCGTGGAGTATTCCTTGGATGACATGTATTTTCGGCATCTTGTTCGTGGAGTGTTTTCCAAATGACACGTGTCCTCGACATCTTGTCCACGGAGTGTTCTTTAGATGACATGCGTCCTTGGAAATTTTGTTCACAGAGTGTTCTTTGGATGACATGCATCTTCGGCATCTTGTCTGTGAAGTGTTTTTCGAATGACACGTGTCCTCAGGAATCTTGTCTGCAGAGTGTTCTTTAGATGACATGCGACCTCGACATCTTGTTCGCGAAGTTTTCTTTGAATGACACATGTCCTCAAGAATCTTGTTCGCAGAGTGTTCTTTGGATGACATGCGTCCTCGGCATATTGTCCGCAGAATCCTTAGCATCTTGTCCACGGAGTGTTCTTTGAATGACACACGTCCTCAGCATCTTGTCCACGGAGTGTTCTTTGAATGACACACGTCCTTAGCATCTTGGCTGCAGAGCACTCTCCACATGACATGTCATTTCGGCATTAAGTCTTTCACATCGGTAAAACAAGGATAATTTTTTATGGTTATCATGACTTGAAAGCGGAGTGGGCTGTCCTCATTTCCAAGGCAATCAGAGTGACATGAAAGACAGCCTAATAACCAATGGTAAAGATGTACAAAGCATAAAATTTTGAAATTTTAATCCCTTCAAAGGGTGATGGACAAAAGTGTTCTTGCGCATGCGCAACTATAATCAGGTCACATTAAATGTTTCCTTTAGAAGGATGAGACATATTTATTACTCGGCATGGTCAGAAAGGCAAACATTAAATGATCGGGGATCCGAGCATTGAATGCAGAAACTTCCACCACGTGAAAAGGGGGAGGCACTCTGCTCAAGGACTGTGTACCACATGTTGCTTTTCAAGTGAGCCAATGGGGAGTCTTCCCTCCAAGGGACCCATCTTTCTGCAATAATTGACTTCATGGAGGTATAACTAGCTCTCGCAAACTCGAGATTAAGGTACGCAAAATCTGACCCAAGTAATAGAACAATGTTTTCCACCCCTCTCTCACATACTGACTTGATCGTCGAAGGAGTCACGCTAAAAACATTCTGGCGCTTTTCTAACTTTTTTTTTTGAGTGATATGACTCATCTTGATAAGTTAAGCATGACCAGATAGCTGAAAAAAGATTCATCACCAGTTTTTATACCATCTTTCACATCTGTTTGCTTGGAGACTTTTGATTTTTTAGGTAATCTCGAGTTCACCGACGAAGAGATCTGTCTATTCATTTATTGGGAGAATCTATGGTACCGCCTGTCAAATAACGGTATCGTGCCAAAAAAAAAGTGTGGCTATAAATTTTTTTGCATTAAATATTACTCAAATGTGTGACTGTAAATTTTTTATCATTAAATATTACTCACTAAATGTGATAACTTTGTTTATAAATGTAATAACATTACCTTAAAAGGTTGTAAACTCACGTCAAGAGATTGTAATCTCACCTCATATCTAGAGGTGGTACTTTTACATTTAGTGCTTGTAATCTAATTTTAAATAGTTATAACTTCATATTCAAAAATAGTAATTTTACCATAAATAGTTATAACCTCACTTTCAAAGATAGTAATGTTACTTTCAATTGTCGTAACCTTACTTAAAAAGTTTGTACCTTACCTTTAAAGATAATAATTTTATCTCAAGAACAATAACTTTGTCTTTGCAAGTAGTAACATTACATTTAATAGTCACGATTGATCATGATTAATTAAGATCGATCTTAATATCAAATTATTTTTGTTTTTGATTTCACTCTATTAGAATCGATTATCATTAAACCGGTGCCGCTCCTATATTCGGTGCGCACAATAAATTAGCAGTATCGTGGTACAGGTTTTCAAGATGTTAGGTCCAAACAGCTGTGTAGGTGGTAGTTTACTTAAAAACAGTTACCATATCAGTTGAACAACGATTGCCCCTCTCTCTGGTTTGTGGGTTAGTGTTATGGCAGTGAGTTGGTGATGCAATAACTATGACAAGTTACTGGCCTTGTGGTGGTAAAGGATTTGTTATTTTGCTTCTGCCTCTTGGAATGACCTACCACGAGAGCCATCTAGCAGCACCTAGGGGCCGTTTGATTCGTGGCAAAAAGTTCGGTAAATAAAGGAAAACTCTACGGTACTTAAAAAAAAAAATTTGTACCGATATTATTATCATCGGTTATTATTTTATATGATAAAATTATAATTTAAAAAAAAATTATAACTGTTTAAGAGATATCATGATCGATCACAAACACTCATAAGCGATTATAAAAATGCGATTTATCCAATCATATCTGAATTGATGAAACTTACCAAACGCTTGAGGCAAAAATCCTATAATTGTAATCCAATGTTTAGTAAGACGTTGGATTAAAAGTTAAATAATAAAATATTAATTATGTATTGATTAAAAAAATTATTAATCTAGTTTAGATATTTATATAAAAAAATTATTAAATTAAAAAAATTTAATCTGTTATAATTCTATAATTTATCATTTAATAATGCAATCAATCGATAGTTTTAAAAGGCAGGCAGGTGGCATTGGAAGTGTTATTAAGGTGTCCAACTATCCTATACAAGAAATTTCTCATTTCAAATTGATTTTCATATCGTATTGTTAAAAATTTGATCAAAGTAGCAGATAACTTAGAGTCACACCATCATATAAAAGTTATATATTATACAAATTTTTACTCTAAATATTTATTTTATTATTTTTAATTTAATACAAGACACAATTACTTAATATAAACATAAATTTAATATTATAATTATAGATTTATAAAATATTTTAACCTTGATCTAAACTTGTTATACAAGGATAAGATTAAATTGTATTTTTGCAAATACTATTTTATGGATTGGATGAGAATTAATTAATAAAATTTATCTTTTATTTGTATTTGAACCAAACAAGCCCTAAAGTACATAAATAGTTAGAGTTAATTAAATCGTTTCATTATTTTGAGACCGATCGAAACTACTCATTTTGATCTTTTACTTTTATCTCTACTTCATTAGTAAGTTTTTAGTTATCCCATTGTGCTGTGTGACGTTAACCAATGAGGACGCAACCAATCCTTTCCTTGTGCAATAAAAAACAAATGATTTTAGGGAAGGACAAAAAGAACGTGGCCTATATTGTAAGTACTATGCTCTAGTTGTTATCCATCGCTCTCAGGCATGTTGATGGTGTGTACAATTTGTTAATGTCGTTTTGTACGAGATGTGGATCCCAAGAAAATCATGGTATTGTCTTTGAATCACTACCGTATTATAAAAAAATAATTATATTAGATAATAAAAGTTAATTAAGTGTTGGTTGTGCCTAAAGTGACAGAGTAATTAAAAAAATATTTAATAATAAATATATTTATATTTATATTTATACATAAAATTAAATCACAAATACAAAAGAGAAATAAAAGAATTTAAGTGTTAGCTATAGTGNTTGTTTATAAATGTAATAACATTACCTTAAAAGGTTGTAAACTCACGTCAAGAGATTGTAATCTCACCTCATATCTAGAGGTGGTACTTTTACATTTAGTGCTTGTAATCTAATTTTAAATAGTTATAACTTCATATTCAAAAATAGTAATTTTACCATAAATAGTTATAACCTCACTTTCAAAGATAGTAATGTTACTTTCAATTGTCGTAACCTTACTTAAAAAGTTTGTACCTTACCTTTAAAGATAATAATTTTATCTCAAGAACAATAACTTTGTCTTTGCAAGTAGTAACATTACATTTAATAGTCACGATTGATCATGATTAATTAAGATCGATCTTAATATCAAATTATTTTTGTTTTTGATTTCACTCTATTAGAATCGATTATCATTAAACCGGTGCCGCTCCTATATTCGGTGCGCACAATAAATTAGCAGTATCGTGGTACAGGTTTTCAAGATGTTAGGTCCAAACAGCTGTGTAGGTGGTAGTTTACTTAAAAACAGTTACCATATCAGTTGAACAACGATTGCCCCTCTCTCTGGTTTGTGGGTTAGTGTTATGGCAGTGAG